ATTAGCAAAAACACCTGTCTTCATGAAACTTTCGTCTAAATACAGTAAGATCATCTCTGTTAATTTTATAACCAATTGTAAACACTCGAAAAATATGTCTAAAATATGAAATTCAATATTATTATATCGCTGTCAAAATCAATACTTTTGCTTAAAATTTTCCCGAAGTAATTTTTGCATACAATTTACCAGTTTCAACCGCAAATGCTGAAAAAAGTTTTTCAAAAATAAAACTGATACAAAATTAGCTAATTAGTTGTAAGTCTTAGGAAACTTTGCTTGTATTTCCCGATATGTGTAAATAATCGACACAATCAATAAGAATTTTTTATTCCAAATTTTTTGATTTTTTAAAAGAAAAAGAGGTCCGGGGGATATAATCCGAACAGTTCTTGATTTTGAAACGAGGGCGAAAATTTTAGCACTCTTCTCCTAATTTCGAGAAATCGGCTCAGCCTATCGTTGTAAACAAACATTTTCTGGCAAAAAAATTTAAACATTTCTTTCAGGAAGTTAAATACTTCTATGATACACAACAGCACTCAGATCATTATTGTTCATAGAAGCAGAAACTTTATCCCAAAAAAAATTTGATACGGGGCCCGCCAATGCACGCTACGTCCTTGTTCAGAATTAAGGCGGCACTCTGAATCATATTGGTACAGTGGCTTGGCACACCACAGTTAAAAGGTTGCCGACCCCTATTCTAAACCATCAAAATGAATTAAAAACTTTCCTAGATCTACAAATGATCGATATTCTGTTAATAAGTGAAACTCACCTGACTGATACTTTATTCTTCAGAATTCCGTCTTATAACTTTTATTTCACCAATCATCCTGACCAAACTGCTCACGCTGGTACAGGTATACTGATAAAATCTTCGATCGAGCACTACGAATTACTAAAATTTCAACATAACGAAATACAAGCAACCACCATAAAAGTTAAGGGTTTCACACATGCAACTGATTTAACAGTTTCTGCAATTTATTGTCCCCCTAGGTATAATCTTAAATGTGAAGATTATGAAAAATTTTTTCAAAACCTTAGGTACAAAATTCATCGTGGGTGGAGACTTCAATTCTAAAAACACGCTCTGGGGATCAAGATTACCACAAGAAAAGGTAAAGAATTAGCAGCACTAATCCAGGAAAACAATTACTCTTTTATGTCAACAGGAAGTCCTACATACTGGCCTACAGACAACAAAAAACACCTGACCTGCTAGACTTTTTCATAACGAGTGGTATTTCGCCTAATATTATGACGATTGAAAATAACTTAGACCTCTCCTCGGATCATACACCAATAATATAACATTGAGTTCGCGTATATAAATAAGCAAAAAATAACAACCTATATAACTGTAAGACGGATTGGGATACATTTAAAACTGAAATTGATTTAAACATAAACCTCAAAATACGACTAAAAACTGCAGAGGATATTGACAATAGCCTAAATGCGTTCATAACTACATTGCAAGATGCAGTTACAAAAGCTACCCCCACAAAACACGAACAAAATAAAACTAACTAGATATCCCCTAGAAATAAAACGCCTAATAAAACTAAAACGTAAAGCAAGAAAAAAATGGCAAAACACGCAAAATCCTAAGGATAAAACAATCTTCAACAACCTGACAAATTCCCTCAAAAAGAAACTAAAAGATCTAAGGAACAGTGAGATTACGCAATATATTTCAAACTTAAGCAGATACGACAAAACAATATGGAAACCCACTAAGTCCACTAGACATCAAACATTCCATAATGCACCTATAAGAATGGACAGCGCAAGCGAATGGGCAAAAAGCAACAAAGAGAAAGCGGCATTATTCGCGAACTATTTAAAAACTGTTTTTTCTACTGCTGGTAACCAAACCGACCAAGAAGCTAACGACGCACTCATGATAGATAACCCTTTAGTAACACGTGTAAACACTTGAACGAATCTCACATCTCTCGTTCAAGTGTTTACACGTGTTACAAAGGGCACACCAGTTTCATTTAGTTAATTTTCGAAAGCCAATCGAACAACGTCCAGAGAACAATATTATTTGTGTTTTCAAATAATAATTTTAAAAAAGACAAATTTTTTAGTAATTTTGATTTACAAAATCTAATTATTCGGCGGAAAATTAACTCACAAAATCATTTTTGTTAAAAAAGCTTGTTTAGTGAAAAAGTGCTAACAAATATTCAAACATACAGGTAATTAATTCAACTTTGTCATTAACCTTTTCTTAAAAATTTCCATAACTTTCAAAAAATTTTCTATTATGTTTAATATCCTGTTCTGATAATCCACTCATTTATTTTTATCATTTTTATTTTGAACATATTATCATATTTCTGTACATTATTATATTTTTTACAATTTAATTCATTATTTAAGAAAAATCTATTTTCTTTTCCTAAACATATTGTTTGCTAAAATCTCATCAAGATCATGTTTCTTGACAGATGTCCTGAAGATGGAACGTACCTAGTTCCGAAACGTCGACAATAAACAAATAATTAAATAAAGAAATCGTTTTTTTAAAAACTTTTCTTGTTTTTTATTTTGTATTATTTTTGGATTCTTGTTCGAAACTCTACAAAATATATATATATATATATATATATATATATATATAATATAATTTAGTGCTATGGTTAAGGTAAGCTAATCTTCTTATAACAAATAGCAAGCATATTCATTAAAATATATTATTAACTTCCCGAAGGAGAAGTTTATGTTTTCATCAAAAAATCCGATTCGCTAATTTTATGTTTTCTCGACGTTTCAAGCCATTCTGAATCGAATGAGACCAAATTTGGAAAAAGTATGTGTGTGTGTGTGTATGTGTGTGTGTGTGTGTATGTGAACAGATTTTTTGCCGTAAATCGATGTTTTCTCAAAAATGACTGGACCGATTTTAAAAATTTAAAAGCCATTCGATGTACCTCGATGAGGACTATCGTCTCTGAGTTTTGTGCGGTGATCGGCCGGGCCGTTTCGTTGTAAATTGCAGAAAAGTGAAAAATTTTTCGCCCACGCTTTAGCCCGCAATTCTAAATCGATTCTGAAAATTCAAAAACCATTCGATAGATATTGGTTGGGAATCGTGCTGATTAGTTTTTGGTAAAGATCGGCCGAGCCGTTTTCTTTTGATAACGTTTAAAAAAAAAAAATCGACGATTTTTATGATTTTTTTTTTGACGGTAGATACCATAGTTTTCTAGGTCATACTAAAATATTACGGCCCTACGACAACTCGTTTAGCTTTAAAAATTCGTCAAAGTTTGCAAAAATTGGTATAGTTTTTTTGACATTTGTCAAAATTAGGCTTTTGATCGACGTTTTCTCAAAAGCGCCTGAACCGATTTCAGAAATTTAAAATGTATTTCGGTGAGGACTATCGTTTGTCAGTTTTGTGCGACGATCTGCCAAGCCGTTTCTTTGCAATTTAAAAAAAAGTGTTAAACTTTTCGTCCATATTTAAGCTCATCCTACCGAACCGATTTTAAAAAATCAAAAACTGTTCGAAAGATATTAGTTGGGAATGGTACTGATTAATTTTAGGTGAAAATCTACCGAGCCGTTTTCTTGTAATTAACTGTTGAAAAAAAGTGTTAAATTTTCGTCCACATTTAAGCTCATCCTACCGAACCGATTTTAAAAAATCAAAAACTGTTCGAAAAATATTAGTTGTGAATGGTACTGATTAATTTAAGGTGAAAATCTACCGAGCCGTTTTCTTGTAATTAACTGTTGAAAAAAAGTGTTAAATTTTCGTCCACATTTAAGCTCATCCTACCGAACCGATTTTGAAAAATCAAAAACTGTTCGAAAGATATTAGTTGGGAATGGTACTGATTAATTTTAGGTGAAAATCTACTGAACCTAATGAACTGTTGAAAAAAAAATTTAAGCCGATTTTCATGGAACTTTTTTTTGGTCTTAATCATGGTCTTATAGAACTTACTGTAATATTACAGCATTACGACAAGTAGTTTAATTTTAAAAATTCGTCAAACTTTACTAAAATTATTATCGTTTTTTAAAGTAGGATTGATGAAGTATATTATTTACTATATTATTTTCTTCATAAATAAAATAGAATATCTCATATAAGATCTACACCTGCTCAAACGATTTTTGAAAAAATTTCAGATGGCTGATTCTGCTGTTAGTGTACAGGTGGCTTTAAGGATAAGGCCTTTAGTCAAATCCGAAATTTCTAAAGGATATGTTAAATGCCTCGAAACAGTGCCAAATAAACCTCAAGTTTTAATAAAAAATCTTTCTTTTACTTACAACCATGTATTTCCACCAGAAGTTTCGCAAGCTGAATTTTATGACACTGCTGTTAAGGGTTTAGTTGATGGATTGTTTAAGGGTAATTTATTTCTACTAGAATTTAATTTTGACATAACATAACTTTGGTGTAGGTGAATTTATCTCTCATCTATAATCCCAAATTCTATTTTTATCTTCAGTATCTTTACTTTATTATTTATTATTTTGTTCAATCTAAAAATATATTTTAGGCTACAATGTGACAATATTAGCTTATGGTCAGACTGGCTCCGGAAAAACTCATTCCATGGGCATGGCTTATTCAGTTGGACCAGTCGAGGAGATGGGTGTTATACCAAGAGCAGTAAAAGACATTTTTCAAAAAATTTCAACTCTGACGGAGCAATATAATTTTCAATTACAAGTTAGATCAATATAAACTACTTTCCAAATATTAAAGCAATAAATTTAAAGTGTATTGTTAAGGAGCATATGAGGTTTAAATGAGAATTAAAATTTAAAAGCCATAACCTTTTTACACTGTAATTAGAGTTTATTTGAATACCCATAAATGGTCAGAAATTAAACATGTCAGATTTTCAAAATCTTTGCATTGTGTTTGTACTTCTATATGTTTGGTTGAATATAATTGTTCTGCACTCCTTAGGAGTATATGGATTGCTTAGGAGTATATGGATTGCTATTTAATATTTGCTTTTAGAAATCATAATAGTTGTAAACATAATAATAACAGTAAGTCATTTCTTCACTAAAGTATTTTCTCATGTTCTACAGGTATCATTTATGGAATTATATCAAGAACAATTATTTGATCTTTTATCAAAATCAAATAGAGATCAAAGTATAGTTGATATCAGAGAAGATCAACAAAAAAGAATTGTAATTCCTGGATTAACCGAAATTGAAGTACGTAATGCAAAAGATACATTAGATTGTTTAGTTAGAGGATATCGTCGCAGAGCTGTAGGTGCAACTGCAATGAACAGTCAATCCAGTAGAAGTCATGCAATATTCACTATCCATATACAACAGCGAAAAATCAGCGATAAGTAAGTAATAGTCAGTAAAAGAAAAAAGCTTTACGTATTATTTTTTTGTTATTTAAAACTGGATCTAGTAATGATGAATGAAAATAATGGTTTTTGAATTGAAAATTATTTTAGTTCACCATGGTTGTCGCTTCGAAACCATACATACATTTACATAGCATTTGTGCGAAAATTATGCGTGTGTAATGTTAGCGTTTTTTTGGATCTTCTGTTGACGTTTTCACAAAAACGATTGAACTGATTTCATAACTTCAAGGACTAGCATTGATTATAGCCCAGTCAAATTAAGTTTTCAGTTAGGAACAATTCGCATAGAGCTGAAATTTGGTACAGATGTTAAATAGGCCATTACAAATGAAATGTCAAAAGTCCCCAACGATCCGACATCTGCGATTTTTTTTATTCAAGGTCAAAGGTGCAAAAATCTAGTTTTTCCCATTTTCCGCCGAAACCATAATTTTTTTTAAAAAATTATGTTAGATAAGTTTATTTATTATAAAATTCTCTATGAAATTGTTATTATTAATTTTTTTGTTAGTATCACCGTTTCTGAGATATTGCATATATATCCAACTTAGGTTATAGGAAATTTTGAAAAGTAAATTTGAAATATAAATATATAATTTTTATAAATTTCTAAAAATTTTGACAGAAAATCAAGATCAACAAGATAACCATTTATCTCAGCAGACAGGCTGATTTATCTAACAACAGGGCTCCAACAATTAAATAAGGAATTGGCTTGGAAGCGAACATTAGTGGCACAAGTTGCACAAAAAGTGAATATGCCAATACCTGAACCTAAATATGCTCCAAAAGACTTATTTGATATGATTGCTGACCCAAGGCGTTCAGTTGATGCCCATAAAGGTATTATTACAATCAAATATATTAATCTGATATTTTTATAGCAACAAAAATATGTAAATATGTGAAAAGATACAATGTTAGTATGGGAAAGTTAAAATAATTTTCATTGTATCTGCTTAGAGCGCGGTACTGAACTGGAGAATCAGCTAACAGAAGCAGTGGCGAAAGTTGCTCAATGTCAACAGGAAATGGATAAGCTACGTGAGCAACATAGACATGAATTGGCTGAATTAATGACATATGGAAACAGAAATGATATTAAGAATTGTAGAACACCTGAAAAAAAGGCTAAGAAAATGAAAAAAAGATCCAGATCATCTTAAGCTGGATTTCGAGCCAATGAATTCATCAGAAAGTGATGATGAAGTTTATGCAGATTCCGCTAAAAAAGATCCTGATTTTAGACTAACGCCTATGTATAAGCGAGTCCGGTTAGTGAAGGTGAGTGAAATCATATTAATCAGTGAAAATTTTTACTTTTGATTATTTAAAATGAGTGATTTTTTTTTTACAATAATATTTGGGTTAAATAATGCTTAAAATTTATGACCGTACTGGATTTATGAGAGTCTGGGAACACAAAGCAAAAGCTTTGTGCATCTTGTTTCTCCAAATTAAATTAAAATTAAAGCATGAGATATACATAAATATCAATATTTTCAATTACTCTCTAATATATTAGCAAATTAGTTGGCAGTGGTTTTCTCTCTCCGATGATATCAATTGATTTTTTAGGTTTGCTCACGTAGTTGAAATATAAAAACTTTTTGTTATTGGATAGCAGACAAAAAACGGCAGTGTAAAAATTGGTTTGATAAATTTTGTTCTGGTGATTTTTCACTCAAATATGAAAACGCTCTGGTCGTCCAACTTGTCTGAATAAAAAATTGATTACAAAAGTGATCTAAATTCACAAAACGAAATGGTGATTTATTCCATTATTGGCATCACATATTTTTGGCCACTCAACAAAAATTACTAGACCATATAATGCTGACCTTGCCTTTTTTTATTACTTTTGGTTTTGATCTTTACAAAACTCCTTTAATGCTAAACAATTCAATGATTATTCTTGATTCAGTTTTTGTTAATAATAACCAGAAGTTTTTAGAAGTGGGATTATGCTTGCTTGAAGTAGCTTAAAAAATGACAAAAATCAGTGATAAAAATAGACAATGCATTTCAGAATAAAGTTATTTAGTTTCATAAAAAAAATGTTGATTTTCTTCCGCACTTAATTTAGTTGCCAACTTGATATTATATAATCATGTTTATAAGTTTTTTTTGAAAAACTTTCCTTTTGGTCAATTATTCCTTTTTTTGCTCATATACAGAAACTGCCAAGGCATAAGCGAGTGTCAGCAGGTGTTAAACGTAACAAAAATGATGAAATCCAATGTAACTGTAAAGGTGAATGTCAAACTAGATTGTGTGGTTGTCGAAGAAACAACAGGAAATGTTACAGGAAATGCAAGTGCTCAAAAGAAAACTGCAAAAATATGTAATAACACCAAATCAGATACTAGTGAATGCAGGTGATATGTTTTTTCTTAAATATAAGGATATATCCTTATATTTAAGAAAAAACATATCATTTCATATATGAAATGAGTAATAATACTGACAATATTTTCAAGATTAATAATTACCTGTTTTAATGCCATATTATTACTTAAAAGGCTGAATTAGATGTTTAATAATTTAGTATAGAAGAATCGACATTTAAATGAGAAATAATTATAAGTAATTTCATGAATTTCTTCTTAGATTGGAATAATTAGAAACAAAAAATGAATTGTTGATCTAATACATTCCATTGATTTTAAATTTCTAAAAATAATTATTTAATGTTTATTATAGGTTATTAATATAATATTAAATTAGTATTGCTTGTTATTGTAGATTTAATTTTTTTCTTAACGCAAAGGCTCGTTTTACGAAAAATGTATATATAGTTAAAATAGTGTATAGAAAATTTACATACAGCTAAGAATTTTAAAATGTAACTTGAGTTGATTCTTAGAAATTTTTACTATAAATAATATATGCATATAAAAGGTGCAAAGCAATGGTTTTAAAGGTCTTTTTGAAAGATTAGGTTTTGATTAGTTTTAAGTATTTTGATATCAAACTGTATATATGTAATAGTTAATAAAAATAAATCTATTTTATTAAATGTATTGTTTTTGTTAAGTTCTTTTGATGTCTGTTCGCCGATTCAACAAAATCCAGGTCTATGGAATTTCATTGTTTAGTTTCAAATGCTTGTCAGGTGAGCAATTTATCAATAATTATTGAATTAAATCATACTAAAAAAAAACTTCTTCAAATCGACCAAAAATGGTTTAAATAAGAATTACATTTTTATAGGTTTAAAGAAATTCATATAGGTAAAACATTAATTTCAGTATCTGTTTAGTTTTTTTTTCTTCAAATAACACTTAATATTTAGTATTAGATTCAATTTCTAAAGTATAACTGTACTTTTGATTTGATTTATAGATTTAGTGGAGAAAAGTTATATTGAAAAATTTATCTACTTAGAAGAGGAACCAGTGCCGACATACTTTTAGTATGATAACACAAGAGCTATATGACAAGCATCATAATGAAATGGTTCACAATGTTATATGTAAATAAGCATGTGTTTTAAAAATAAGTTTTTATAATCACAAAAATGTGAATAAAACATTTATATAAACAGCACTAAATGAATGTCAATCAAACTCTTAAAAAAAGCTTAATAATTTTTGCTTCTTTATTTTATTTCCTTCCCATAGAGACGATTAAATTAGACAGAAATTCAGCAATCCTGAACCGATTTTAAAAAATTGAAAAATATCAGTTGGAAATCGTGCTAATTAGTTTCTCGTAAAGATCGGCGGGGTCGTTTTTTCGTAATCAATTGTTAGTTTTTTGAGGATTTCATTAATATATATATATAGCTCATGGTTTTAACCAATATCTTAAAAAATCATTAAAGTTTGAAATTAATGTTATGACGATTATTTACACATATCGTGAAGTTCATGCAACTTGCCTTCAGACAAAATGCCACTTTCTCCTAGTTAAAACTCGTTTTATTAGCAGAACATCGATTGGAAAACTAGAAAAATAAGACAACTAAAAGGAGACTATTCAAATAACTGTTATTAAACGGATATAATAATACATTAACTTATTATTATGTTTCGAAATATTTAATAAATGAGTATACTGTATAATGAAACATAGTAAAACCTACCATTGATTTCGTTATTCACATCATTAGTACTTTCTGTCAAATATTTGTTGGATTACATCATAGATAAACAAGTATAAATGGATTATGATATATATATATATATATATATATATATATCTCAAACGCGAAGACTTATTGAGCGAACATATGCGATGAACTGACCCAAACTGACAATTTTACGACAATGTTTTAGCTGTAAGACAGGAAATTATTGGTGGGGATAAATCAATGGTTGTTTATTTTTTTTTTATATATATTTTTGAACAGCAATCAGACCTTACGTCCTATGAGCTGTTGGGCTAAAACTTCTTACTTCGTATTTATTTTAGATGGTAACCCAGTGGTTAATCCATCCATATTTGATGATTTTGTTATTAGAATTAATCTAATAGGGCTGACATTTTATTGGTGCAGCAATGCCGGACAAGGGCTATTTTCACTTGGAAACATATTGCTATCTATATTTTCAAGTGAAAATCGTTGTCACTGCTGCCTGGTCACGACTGCTCGAAGTGGGTACCGAACCCGGGACCTCTGAAACAAGTCCCATCGCTCTTAACCGCTGACCTACGGGCGAGCCCAATGGTTGTTTAGTAAATCACATTTTATTATAAAAATTATAATAAAATTATAAAAATAAATTGTTTTAATATCATAGACAGTTAAGTGGACAACATTTAGATAATTATGTTCGGATACATCTTTACGTTTCAAAAGTTTCTGAACATTTTGGCATACCTGGATATATGTGGATTTGAATGATTCAAAAAACATTCGACTTCTATTGATAAGGAGACGTGGTGATTAGTTTTTGGCAACGGCATGTCCTGCCGTTTTGAAAATACGGGGCAAAAAATGCCAAAAATGGTAATTCTGTTTTTGAGATAACGGAGTATCCGATTTGAATGATTCAAAAAACAAATTATTTGCATTGACGAAATGAAAAATCGTTAGTTTTAGGATTTAGTATTACAAAAAAATGCCAGTTGGCGGCCACAAATAATCATTATTCATAAGCACATCAAACTATCAGATATTTTAAATACAATAACAAATTTGGTTACATTTCTATGGGTACCGTACCAAGGTTTATCAGTTAGACTGTAATCGATACTTTCTCCCTTTGCATCCAACGCAGCGTAATTGTTTTAAAAAAAAGTTCAAAATTTACAAAATATTTCAAAACAAAACAAAATTTTTTTTTCAAAAAGTCTTTTTTTTTCAAACATTTCAATACTTACATACTAATTTTTCAAAGTTTAGAAAAAAAATTGAATCTTTTAAAAATCTTAATTTACTTCCCGTAGGGCAAGTTATAGTAATCGCAAAAAAATCAACTAGTTGGTTTGGTATTTAGCCTTGAGGCAAGTTACATGAACTTCCCGATATGTGTAAATAATTGGTTTAATCAAAAAAAGTGTGTAAATAATATACTTCATCAATCCTACTTAAAAAAAACGATAATAATTTTAGTAAAGTTTGACGAATTTTTAAAATTAAACTACATGTCGTAATGCCGTAATATTACAGTAAGTTATATACAGTACAGTACAAGCCAAAAAAAGTTCCATGAAAATCGGCTTAAATTTTTTTTTCAACAGTTCATTACAAGAAAACGGCTCGGTAGATTTTCACCTAAAATTAATCAGTACCATTTCCAACTAATATCTTTCGAATAGTTTTTGATTTTTTAAAATCGGTTCGGTAGGATGAGCTTAAATGTGTACGAAAAGTTTAACACTTTTTTTCAAATTACAAAGAAACGGCTTGGCAGATCGTCGCACAAAACTGACAAACGATAGTCCTCACCGAAATACATCAAATGGCTTTTAAATTTCTGAAATCGGTTCAGGCGCTTTTGAGAAAACGTCGATCAAAAGTCTAATTTTGACAAATGTCAAAAAAACTATACCAATTTTTGCAAACTTTGACGAATTTTTAAAGCTAAACGAGTTGTCGTAGAGCCGTAATATTTTAGTATGACCTAGAAACCTATGGTATCTACCGTCAAAAAAAAAAATCATAAAAATCGTCGATTTTTTTTTTAAAACGTTATTACAAGAAAACGGCTTGGCCGAT